TATTATCAGTGGGGTAGAGCTGCACTCCACGTAAAACCATAGAGAATCTGGTTTGTTTAATAACTTGGCTTGACTACATTTACCTCAGAGGCATTTAGCATGGAAAACTTGCAGCAGTTACGGCACGGAATGCCCTCTTAACAAGTTTGGAACATGATCCACATAGATCATTAGAGTATGGCACACTGGGCATCGCGCTTGTTGAGCAAATGTTACGGACCATTTGAATGACTCATCCTCCTTAGTAAAAGGTTGTTCTGTTACTGACGTTGACAGCATGGTCACAGTGTTCACGTTGCAGTCGTGTGCTCGCAGACTGTCCTCTCTGGCGTGCCAGTCGAATGTGTCAGCATGAACGCGGAGCAGGTTAAACGAGCTTGTGATTGAGGATTTTCATGATTAGGCCTTTGGATCGCGCCAAGTGAATTTGCTTTAAGACCCGTAGTTGCTTCAAGCAATGTTGGACCTGAACTAGTGACAGTTCTTTCGAAAGTCCTTGAAATTGTCTACCGCGTGAGACCAAGCAATGTCTCCAAAGGTTAGAGTTACGTAACAATGGGCGCTTCCAAAACAGCTAAACACTGCCCAGAATTTAGAATGCAGAGTCATTGTAGCATACATTGGAGCGTGCTCGAGATTATGGTCATAAAAAGTATCTTCTAAAAGCAGGAAGAATAAGTGTGGTTACAAAGACCGATGCCGATGCCGATGCTCCACTGTGAAAAAACAAAGAATCAACATGGTGTCTTAAGCAAGGTCACCAGTATTTTGCCAACTTTAAATTGAGACTAGAGCCTTTCCGGCACGGTTGCACAAAAGGTCCAAAATTTTGCAAAGAAAGCCCAAAACTTTGCAAAGAAGGTCCAAAATTTTGCAAAACCCTGTGCGATTGGCTAAACGCTCAGAGCCAATCCTCTGACCTTAAGTTTGTTCTCATTGGCCGGATGCCAAGATTCGGTGCGTTAGTCTGGGGAGGTGAGCGCGCTGTCCGTTGACTGGGTGAGACTTGTGAATGAATCTTAAAGGAAGGCACTTCGACGGTGCAACGGGCTTGTATGCGCCCCCCTCACGTCCGAAACGATGGATAAAAATTGGTCTGTGAGCAATGAACAGCTGGAACATAAGCGCACGACCAAAACCATGTCTATGATTCTAACCTCGTCGGCATGCCTTCTCGCGTTGGACAGAGTATCTCATCCGATATTCGTGACCGAGTTTTGGGCGCTTTCGTCAACGGTGATGACTGGCAGCTTGTGGCAACTGTGAACAACAGCAAATATCAAACAACCTACTCTTGGATTCGTCGTTCTCTTGATCAAGAGCCGAGTACTACGCAGGCGCGCGGTCGTAAGCGAATTTTGTCGAAGGAAGACGTAGATGACGTCCTGGATTGGATCGCAAGGGACTCAACTCTTACGCTACGGGAAATGCGAGTACGAGTACGAGCAGAAATGGACAAGGACATTTCGAAGTCAACAATCGCATGGCACCTAGATGGTCGATTGATAACTATGAAGAACATCTGTCAGGTTCCCGAGGGAATGAACAGTGCGCGAAACAAAGGGATGCGCAGGGAATTCGTTCAGCAGTTTCTCCAACTTGAGAGCGATGGCAAGTTCTTCATTTTGATTGACGAAGCGAACTTCAACGTTTCCTGCAAACGTACTCGTGGTCGGGCGCCCAGAGGAGTGAGGGCCTGTTGCAAAGTTGCCAACAGCAGAGGGCACAATTTGCATTAAATCGGTGCCCTCACGATGGAAGGGAAAGTGTCGATGACCACCCAGAGAGGCTCATTTACAGGTCCCCTATCTCTCGAATGGCTGCGAAGCTATTTAGACAACCCGAAACGGGAGATGGAGCTCCGGCAGGTTGCCGTGGTATGTGATAATGCACCATGTCACACAGCACTGGAAGAACTGTCGTCAGTAGATGGATCCGATGGAGTAACCATACTGAGATTGAGCCCATACTCTCTGTTCCTCAATCCGATCGAGAATGTTTGGCAGGTGGTGAAGGCCGGAGTGAAGAATGAGATGAGAGTGCACTACGAGGAACTTCTGGCCGGGGATCCCCAGAAACTCATGACGCAGATGGAATGGAGGCTGCACTTCCTTGAACGCATTGCCAAAGCAGCCACCAAGGATATCAGCGTTGTGGGATGTCGTAATGCTATTCGACATATGCGTGTACATTTTACTAATTGTCTAGAAAAAATGACATGTTTTGATCATTACGTATCTGGTTGTATAGCATGTTGCTGGCAGCGCGTAGGGACATGTGAGTATTCCCAGTGTTTTCAAAATATGTTTGCACGTACGTAAGTTTGTGTGTTCGTAAGGAAGTTGAAGCGATATCTGATGTCTAGCACAAGGGAGGGACACGGGACCGGCTTCCAGTGAGCCATGCCCGAGTGATATGTTCAACTTATGGCCCTTTTCGTGCCGGTATTCGCTACGCCGTACTCTTTCATGATCAGCTTGAGATAATGTAGATACAGTTTCTTTGTTCGGAAAACTAGGATGTTTGGAAAGCACATTGTAGGAGCAAGTGAACTTGCCGGGTGAAACAATCGTTAGATATATCACAGTATGGGATATCAGCGTGGATAGTTGAATAGTAGTGAATAAGAAATTACTGCGCACGTCATGTTAAGCATTTCCGAGAGTGAGAGGAACTGATAGACGCGAGTTCGCAAACATATCCATTGCCAGACAAGATGTGGTCATTGAAGAAGAACGAATGAATCGCGCGTTTAATAGAAACCGTCTCTGTGCGATGTTTGTCCGCTGTATTTGAGTGCACTGATGCGTTAATTCGTTACCCCATTGGAAGTTGGGCTGTCAAGTTCGGAACCCACATCAGCCGGTCCGGAAGCTGTATTTTAGGTTTAAAAGCAACCATTCCTACAGTAAGCCCAATTCAATTTGCGTGCCAGAAAGGCTCGAATAGCTGCCCAGAACGACTTGGAGACTATCTTGATTGTTCGGATGATCCCTCGTTTGACCCAATAGCCTGCGTAAACAATGGGGGTGTAGTTGGCGTGGCAATGATTCTACGTTGTTAAACGTGGTACTGACAGAACATCAGATACAGACAATGGAAATTTTAAAGTCATTAGTACCATCTATCTCAGCTCAGGAAATGTAGTTTGCGAAACCGCAAATTTCTCACAATTAGGGTTTTCGGACTGCAACCATGCGAACACCAAAACGCTATAAACTACCCACTTTGAAGATATCTTCGACGCACAATGATACGTAAATAATAATACTGCTGTTCACGTTCACTGTGTGGTTTATTCCCTAGCTCGCACCCTTGATCCTCGGGTTCACAGTGAATATGTTGCTGCATTTACACGAGTACCGACAATTGTCTACACGGCACACAGGACGCAATGTGTCCATTAGCGACGTGTGCAGTTTTGTCCTTATTTCCGTCGCAACATTTGACCGTAGTTTAATCCGACCAGAGGTGAAAAAGTTGACTGCGTATTACTCTGGACTGGTTCAACTTGGGAGGATTTAACTACAATATTGCAACCTGGAACGTTAATTCGATCAGCATCATTATTGCGGTTGCAAAATTTGAACTCAGCTTAGCACGGCCAGTCACATCGCTCACATACCGTTGGCCTTTAGGACATTCCCGTTTGTAAACATTTTCGGTACTCGTGTAAATGCAGCAACATATTCACTGTGAACCCGAGGATCAAGGGTGCGAGCTAGGGAATAAACCACACAGTGAACGTGAACAGCAGTATTATTATTTACGTATCATTGTGCGTCGAAGATATCTTCAAAGTGGGTAGTTTATAGCGTTTTGGTGTTCGCATGGTTGCAGTCCGAAAACCCTAATTGTGAGAAATTTGCGGTTTCGCAAACTACATTTCCTGAGCTGAGATAGATGGTACTAATGACTTTAAAATTTCCATTGTCTGTATCTGATGTTCTGTCAGTACCACGTTTAACAACGTAGAATCATTGCCACGCCAACTACACCCCCATTGTTTACGCAGGCTATTGGGTCAAACGAGGGATCATCCGAACAATCAAGATAGTCTCCAAGTCGTTCTGGGCAGCTATTCGAGCCTTTCTGGCACGCAAATTGAATTGGGCTTACTGTAGGAATGGTTGCTTTTAAACCTAAAATACAGCTTCCGGACCGGCTGATGTGGGTTCCGAACTTGACAGACGGACTTCCAATCGTGTAACGAATTAACGCGCCAGTGCACTCAAATACAGCGGACAAACATCGCACAGAGACGGTTTCTATTTAACACGCGATTCATTCGTTCAACTTCAATGACGATATCTTGTCTGGCAATGGATGTGTTTGCGAACTCGAGTCTATCAGTTCCTCTCACTCTTGGAAAAGCCTGACATGACGTGCGCAGTAATTTCGTATTCACTACTATTCAACTATCCACGCTGATATCCCATGCTAAGATATATCTGACGGTTGCTTTACCCGGCAAACTCACTTGGTCCTACAAAGCGCTTTCCAAACCTCCTAGTTTTCCCAACAAAGAAACTGTATCTACATTATCTCAGGCTGATCATGAAAGAGTACGACGTAGCGAATACCGGCACGAAAAGGGCCATAAGTTGAACATATCACTCGGGCATGGTTCACTGGATGCCGGTCCCGTGTCACTCCCTTGCGCTGGACATCAGATATCGCTTCAACCCCCTTACGAACACACAAACTTACGTACGTGCAAACATATTTTGAAAACACTGGGAATACTCACACGTCCCTACGCGCTGCCAGTGACGTACTATACAACCAGATACGTAAACTATAGGCCAGCAACGTGCTCAAAACATGTCATATTTTTCTAGTCAATTAGTAAAAGGTACACGCATATGGACAATGGACAATGGTTTATTACGGGTAAAAAAGCATCGCTTAACAAGTCCCGTGGGATGGAAATTATTGCGAAAATCAATTGCATAATAAAGTGAAAAGCGTTGTGGTGGACTCACCATAGACTTATGTGAAATAGCGGAGATGTTCGCATATTAAACGTATAAATCCATAAATCCAATGGTTAGGCGTTTGGCAAGAAACCGTTTGATTGCGTTTTGTAGCCCCTGGCTAACAAGTCATAAAATGAAATGTAAGTGAGACAATGCATCGTCAACACGTTTTTTAAATATCGCCAGATTGGGAGCAGAGACGACATAATTAGGGAGGGCATTCCAAGGCTCACACACGCGGAGAGAAAAGAAATTTCTACGGCATTCAAGCCGGCTATAATGAATTGTCAGTTTCAGAGGGTGACCTCTTAGTTTAGTGTTGTGGTTCAATTCCAGCAGCGGACGGCAAATGTGGTTTGGGTTCTTCAGAATCTGGTAAACCATTATGAGATCCCCCCGCAAAAGCCGATATCGACTGCTGTACATTCTTAGAGATTTCAGTCTAAGCTGATAGGGCAGATGAAAGAGGCCCCTGACGTTCTTGGTTGCCCGTCGTTGAGGAGTCTCGAGAGCAACGAGATCCTGTTTCTGCCACGGCTGCCACGCCTGAATAGCATATTCCACGTGAGGTCGCACGTAGGCGTTAAGCATTTGGGGAAATATTGATGGTTCAAACCGACCGAAGGCTCTGCGAAGAAGGCCGAAGTGTTGATTTCCGGTTCTCCTCGCCTTCTCTGCTTGTTTGGAACACCCGAGATCTTCCTGTACCAATACACCCAGGTCCCGCTCCTGAGAAACCTTCGCCAAGGTGTGGTCTCCAATCTTGTAAGCGCTCACCAGCTGGTGACGCAGATGCATCACTTTGCACTTAGCCATGTTCAATTGAAGCTTGTTCCTCTTTGACCATTCGTAAATGCAGTCTAGGTCATGTTGGAGCAGATCCTGATCTGCCTTGTTACTAATCGCCCGCCATATCTTGACGTCATCGGCGAAAAGCAGGAAGTTTGAGGAGATGACTCTTGCCAGGTCGTTGATAAACACCAGGAATAAACGCGGTCCCAGCACTGAGCCTTGCGGGACACCACATTCCACCTCAATTGGGTTAGAAAGTGATCCCCTAACACGTACTTGGAGCTTTCGTTGGTAAAGGAAGTTGCCAATCCAACCAAGTACAGGATCTCCGATTCCGTAACTTTGTAGTCTTTGAAGTAGGATGCGGTGATCAAGGCGGTCGAAAGCTTTGGAGAAGTCCAGATAGATGACGTCGACTCCGACCCCATCATCGGCCACTTCCGTCCAACTACCTCGTGCAATAAGTAGGTTGGTGGTGCATGACCGGTGTTGACGGAAGCCATGCTGTTCCGCTACCAAGATGTTGCATTTTTCCAGGTAGTCCATTAAAGCCTCAGCGACGACTGCTTCCATCACCTTCGCGAGCACAGGGAGGAGAGTCACTGGACGATAGTTTGCAGGATCGGAACGGCTACCGCCTTTAAAAATAGGGGTTATAATGCCACACTTCCACATAGTGGGGACTTGTTGTTCATCAAAGCACCTTTGAAAGAACTGTGACAGTGGTTCAGCTAGCTTGGTGGCCACAGCCTTCAGTGCCTTCGGGCGGATGTTGTCTGCTCCCGGAGAACTATGTTCACGCAGTGAGAGTAACTTCCTTAGCACAATTGATGGGTTGAAAATAACATTTGTAAACAAAGGTGTCGGTAATGAGCTTGATATTATGGGACAGGTAGATGTTGCGAGTTCAAAAATTGGGGCGTATTGCAGCCGCAGGGCATTAGCTGCTTCTTCGGCGCTTTGTACTCTACCGCTTGTCGTGAATAGTGGGGGTATTCCATGCTTCACTTTACGAAGCTTATTGACATGCTTATACAGCAGTTTGTTGTTTGCCATGAACTTTTTGGCTAGGCACTGTTGATAAGTTATTTTGTCCTCACGGACAAGTGCGGTGCAATGGTTGCGATGGGCCAGGAAATTTCCCCAAGTCTCTGAGTCGGGGTTAATCTTGTAGGCACGCCATGCTGCATCCCTTATCGCCAGGCATTTGCGAGTCCTACTCCTTATAATTGAAGGCATTTTCGCGGGATGACGGGGTTTGGTCTCTGATGCTTTGTTGACGATGTCGCTGAGCTTATTAACGAACTCTGCCCAAACGTTGTCAAGGGGACTTTTGTTTGAGAATTCCCAAGCAGCTGCGTCGGCGAGTTCTTTCAATACCTGGTAGCGTGTGATTGTATGAGTTAGTTCCGAGTGTTCAGATGGATACTCTGCATAACACACATAGTCAAAAGTTATTACTACGTGGTCACTGTGACCTAATGGACTATCCATCAATAACTTGTCAATCATGAGCTCTTCATTTGTGAGCACAAGGTCCAATATGGACGGTTTGTTTGCTGTCCTGAATCTAGTGGGCGTGGTGACATGATTGTACAAAGGAATATTAGAGATCAGTTCCTGCAAGTCTGCTTTGAACTGCTCACTGGGCGATGCCGACACCTCCAAATTGTGTAGATTGAAGTCCCCGGAGATGAGAGTGTGGCTGTACCTAGTGCGTGTTACTCTGTTTAGGCCACGGATCAAGCAGGAATCCATTTCCAGAGTGGACGTTGGGGGGCGGTAAACGATAGCTATGAGACATGTATCGTTGTGTCTCAGTCGGAGACGGCACCAGAGTGAGTCGGTAACGTGTGTTTCCAGGTCCTCAACTATTGTACATTGTAGATCGCTGCGGTAGTAGAGTAGGACCCCACCTCCTCTGCTGGGGCGGTCGTTCCGGATGAGTGACATTCCGGCTATCTCAACCTCAGCATCAGTCACCTCTTGATGCAACCAAGTTTCGGTAATAGAAATTAGGTCCCAAGCATTCGCAACCTGACGTAGTCGAAGTTCGTTAATTTTACTGAGGAGCCCTTGGGCGTTGGTGTACATACATGAAAGTTTCTCAGATTTAATCAATGTTTCAGAAGTTGTACAACTCATACGTGAAGTTTCGCCGAGCAGTGAGTGGCCGGCGACTGGATGGGTGGATGAAGCAAATGAGTTTACGCCGACCATTAAAGGGTCGGCGACTAATCGTTTTTTGGATGGGTTGCATACTCTCGAGAAGTATTTGATATATAAGCAGGTATCAGATGCTCCGAATCCTGGTGTTTGCTCGTGCTCTGCTGTGCCCCTCCGGATAGTATGGCTACTCTTGAAACCGTCCCCGAGTCGGGTCCTGCAGCTGGCGTTTTCACTAAGAGTTGTGCTTCTACTGAATTGTCATTAAAAGGTGTTGGTGTTCTTGCTGCTTTCAGACGAATTTCCGTTGGCAATCTGCAACGGAATTTAATCCAGTTCGCTAGTAGGGTTTGTGCCATTTGTTCTGACTGTAACACAAGTTTTAAGAGTCTGGGACCGCATCCTTTATAGTTTGGTGATATGGGGATCCTTGTCAACGAGGTGACCACCACATTTTCGAGAGAAAGAACCTCCCGGATGTAGTGCCATTGCTCGCGGTCATGCATCTGAGCATCGTCGGAAGAGGAGTCAGTAAGCTCAGGAACACCGTGAGCAATCACTGTTTTCTTATCTTGACTTATTCTGTACCTATCTTTGTTGGCGGGATCCCCTGAACGTTCTTTCCACGGGATTTCGGGTAGTATGCGCACTCCACTTGAGTCGTTGCGGAGACGATTCGCGGACAGCAGAACGGCCTCAGTCTCGTCCGCCGAGTTTAGTGTTACCCGAAGTAACCGGGGTTCGCCGTAGTGCAACGCGTTTGGGTGGCGTGAGATTCTTTTTAATGTCGTGGGATTAGCATGGACTCCGATCGACGTACAGATGGAACCCCACTGATTTCGATCGTCCGTCAACTTACCCTTAATTGTATTGGATTTGGATTCGGGGACATTAGTGCATACAATGTTTAGGACACCATGGTTGCGCCTGGTGGCTACTGGTTTTGGATTTCGAGGCTTAGTTTCTGGTGTTTTTGTTGAATTTGTGAACGGCCTTGGTGTGTGCCATCCGTGCTGCGGCAGTTTTGTTTTCTCTAGTTCGGGCACAAAGGTTACCGGTGCTCTTTCCGGTGTTTGCTTGGCAGCAACCGATGCGTACGTTGCCGGGTTGTTCACTATGGCTGGTTGACTGAAGCTTACAGTCTCGAGTGTAGTGAACAGACTACTAGGTGCAGCACACAGTACAGAAGTTGAGGCAGGCGCGCTGCAGGCACTGTTTTTACTTATAGGAGGGAGGGAGAATGGAGTTGATACTGCTGGAGGCTGAGTCGTTGGGGTTGGGTTGGGACGCCTGGCTCGCTTCTTCGGCCTGACTAGTGAGTTCGGGGTGTTATTTTCACTCACAAGTGCAGGTCCGTTTCCTCCCATGGGTGTAACTCTGGCGCTCACCAGTTGCTCGACCGCTTCGGTTAGTCTTTCACACCTCTTCAGTAGCACAGATAGACAGCTAACAAATGGAATAGACTTGCATACTTGGCAGAACCAAGGCGACTCTGCGGTGTTTGCTTGCGTCGACTTCTTCCCAAGGCAGGTAGTGTGATAGGTTTTCAAGCACATGGTACACACCAGACCATTTTTCACCACTTTAGCACATGATTCGCATTTGCTTTTCATACGAGACATGTTCTCAGTAGGGGTAGGAAGTGGATGGAGATACTGACGCACCGCTGCGTGGCGATCGGCGCTGGTTTGAGGTCAGCAGGTCCAGGCGATGTGCGTGCTATCGATCCAGACGGGTAGACAGCGATGCGAGACAAAGCGACTGAGGCAAAGCAAGGTGACTTGGAAAATGCTGTCTAGTGACGACAGTGGCAGTTCCAACTGCAGAGCAAATTGACGACTATCGCTTTGTAGAGTGACTTGAAGGAATGGTAGTAAGCTGATCGGGTGACTCTCAAAAAGATCTTTAAAATAAGACCACAAGAGTTCTTATGCGACGAGAGGAAAAATAAAACATCCGATAAGCTTCAAATACGGTTGACTTCGAAGTTCCAAGAGCACAGTTTGTTGGTGATCCGTGAATGATAGATCCAATAGATGAACAGTGGTAGGAGGAGCTCGCGGAGCCAAATCGAATGATGGCACGTAGGTCTCTGTGAGAATAAATCCAAAGATTTGGAGGCGAATAACGCAGGAGGACAGTTTTTTGCGACCGCACACGTTGACTCACCTCGCAAAGTCGAATAGCATTACGGCATCCCACAACGCTGATATCCTTGATGGCTGCTTTTGCAATGCGTTCAAGGAACTGCAGCCTCCATTCCATCTGCGTCATGAGTTTCTGGGGATCCCCGGCCAGAAGTTCCTCGTAGTGCACTCTCACCTCATTCTTCACTCTGGCCTTCACCATCTGCCAAACATTCTCGATCGGATTGAGGAACGGAGAGTATGGGCTCAATCTCAGTATGGTTACTCCATCGGATCCATCTACTGACGACAGTTCTTCCAGTCCTATGTGACATGGTGCATTATCACATACCACGACAACCTGCCGTAGCTCCATCTCCCTTTGCACGCTGTCTAAATAGCTTTGCA